GATTTTACATCTGTTGCAATGAACTCCTCCACATCATTGATGCTCTTCACTGTGATTTCACCCTGACTGACCATTGGGTAGTCATATGGGTTGGTTGTGATCAGAAGAGCCTCTGTAAAATGCAATACCGAAAATCAGTGAGGTTTTCTTAGTATATTGTTAGCAATCTTTTCAAACATGAAATGGGAAGCAAAGCCTTCAGCCTTTATATTCAGGAGAAAGACATGTTTGTTACTTTGAAGATTATGCTTAAAAATTCTTCTTTAAATTAGCTTATGGTTAAGAATGGATCAGGTCAGAGTAAAACATCCCCTAGTTGTGTACCCCTCTCTGAGCCTGGGTTTGGAGAGTTTTGGTTTTCTTGTTAAAATGCAATTCTTCTATTCCACCATTGCCAAGTGTCGGCTCATAGGCAATTCTCATCATCGGTTGGGGTTTTCTCTTTAATACTACAGGGTTTATACATTACCATATAATATCTGATATTGTGCAAAAATTATCTTGTATTTTAATACTAGAATTAAATAATTAATTAGTTAATATTGATTAATTATAATTAATACACTATATTTTAATAGTACAATTAATAGTCGTTATATACTGGTATACAACATTTAAAAATATTGTTGTTGTTATATGAACTGTCCATATATAGTTGAATTCAATTCAATCAAAGTTAGTTAGTGTCATAAATAATTAAAGTTGTCATACCCAGGAGCTCAGGCTTGTGGCCAGTCATCAGCTGATAGAAGATATGGTAGCTTCTCTCAGCAGACAACTGGAAGGTGACACGGGACTTCTCCAGCAGATCTAAGAACAACAAATTCAGTTGGAGAGTGTAGACATGTCATGTAGACATAAGGCATGACAGACTAACATTTCATGTCAAGCCTACCATTTTCATAGATTATCAAAAGAGTCATGGGAGTGATTTCAATTCTGTTACTTTACTTATTACATAATTTACTAATTATGTACCCAAGTCTTTTTTTTTTGATGTACTGCATTGAACTAAATATATAAATATAAAATGAATTGAATTGAGTAGTTAAGAAACATTTCTAGCACAGATAAGTACAATGTAGACTGGTTCAAACTTACATGTTTCAATATCAGCTGAAGACAGCTTGCCAGTAGTACCGAAGTGAATCCTGATGAATTTACCCTAGAGTGGAAAATCTTTATTAGCATTGTCTTTTCTGAAAGCAAATAGTAAATATCTGACTTACTTTAACTCACTCTTAATTACTTACAAAACGAGAGGAGTTGTCATTCCTCACAGTCTTGGCATTACCATAGGCCTCCAACAGAGGGTTGGCAGCAACAATCTGATCCTCAAGAGAGCCCTGCAAGAATATATTGTGTTTATGTGAGCTGAAGTTTCTATTTTATTTTTGTGTTGCAAGTAGCTTGATACTAAATAAAGAATCTACCTGCATTTTGCCAGGTGTTGGCTCAGCCTTCTTACCACCAAGAGCTGCAATTGTTGCAAAGTACTGGATGACACGTTTGGTGTTGACAGTCTTTCCTGCACCGGATTCTCCACTGGGGTTTATGGGACACATTGTTAAATTTCAGCTTCAGTATCTTAAAGTTTTGTATAGATTTTACACACAGATTTGTAATATACTCACGTAATCAGGACAGACTGGTTCTCACGATCTAAAATAAAAGCATACAAGGTTCATGAATCCTGCTTTCATCCTTTCTTTAATAATTATAAGGTTAATTAATAAAGTGCTAAGAAACTATTTATTTGCAAGGATTAATGACAACTTCAATAAACTGAAATTTAAGGTAATGTCTATAATTTATATTAAAACGTATTAACAGTAAATTGAGCTTACCAGTAAGCATGAACTGATAGGCATTGTCAGAGATGGAGAAGATGTGGGGTGGAGCCTCAATCCTCTTCTTTCCTCTGTATGCT